TCCTTTCCAGAGTTACTTTTTTTTTAAAGTAGTAAAGCAACAACAAATATTTTATTGCTATAGAGGCACAAAAGGGTCTTTGTAAGAATCTGCTTATATAGACATTAGAAAACTTAAAATTTTAAGATTTCTAATTTTCAAATAAAGTCTATCAAAACATACTTAAAATTTTTAAAATTCTAGCTCTCTGGGACCAACTTTTCATAGATTTGCCTTGATAGCCATACAAGGGGTACCTTAAAAAAACAAAACTCAGAACCTAGATACACACCTTTGAAAGTACTTAAACAGATTACTCATTTTTATATTGATGTATTATAGATTAAATAGAATGATGTCATTAAAGAATAAATATTGACCTGTAAAGCAACTGTTGATCAATCTTAATGAATTTTCTAACCTATGTGATACATAGGCTGGCACATTTGGGGGTTTCCAGAGAATTTAGTTTGATTAAAAAATATCCTTTGTTTGAATTTAGAACTGCCTTACTTATCTTGAGGCACAGGAGCCAGTATGTGGCACAGGGATATATATTGAAATTATCTCATGAAGTAGGAGTTGCAAAGCCTTCCTACCATGACTGCCAGGCACCTTGATGCCAAAATTGTTGTTTGTATTGCAGTATGCAGGAATATCTCAGCAACCCTTAGAATGGAATTGTACAGGTATGCATCACTTAAAAAACCTCTTGTCGAATACAAAATACAGTCAGATCATTGGGGAAGGGGCTTATTTACATAATAAAATTACTCTTTAATATAAAGCAGATACTATGAATATTGAAGCCCCCCTCATACATTTAAAATAGAGGTTTATTGTTAGTAGTTAATCTAGTAAGAGTAGTATGGAATAAAGGGAACTTTTACTTTTCATTTTGTACCCTTTTTTATTGTTTGACTTATTTACTTTGTGCATGTATGACTTTTAATATTAAAACTAATTTAACTAAAAGCTAAGAAATTTTTATATAGAAGACCTCTGTGTGTGTGTGTGTTTGTGTGTGTAGTGAAGCATACCTATAGAGCTCTACTGCTGTGTATCATGAGACAATGAATCTTTATAAATTATGCAATTTTTAAGTCACTGGAGATGGACAACTTGTTTATTTCTCATTTTTGTTTATGTCGGCGGTAGGTTACTCATGGCAATATCTCAAATCCTATATATCCTAATATTAAAAAAAAATTCTAGATATGCAACATTGTGGTTAGATCTGACTTGAATGACTTTAATAACTTTCCTTAGCTCATAGTATTGTCTATTTAATATTTGTGAGATTCCATTTTGTAAAAATAAAAAAAATCTGAATAATGACTAACCTGGATATTTTAAAAATATAATCATCTAATATTTTTTGTTGAAGCAGCAATTTTGAGGGCCATTGAGCAGTGCCTCTGAAAGAAAAGAATAAAAGGCGATGTGCAGGGCTGGCCGAGTGGCGCGTTGGTTAGGAGTTGGCTTGGGGCGCCAGCTCTGAGCAGCAGGACCCTGGTTCGAATCCCACATGAGGGCCAGTAATGCTGCGCCCTCTACAGCTAGGATGGTGAACAATAGCTTGACCTGGAGCTGGGCTGCTGTGAGTCGCCGGCGACGGCGTAGGCTGCACTGGGGCTGGCTGGCCGCTCGAAGCTGGCGTGTGCTTTCGTGAGCTGCCATGAGCGGCTGTCCAGTCGCCGGCGAGCGACTGCCTCATCCGGGAAGAGTGCAATGATAATACCAACATGGGCCAGTGAAGCAACATCCTCCACAACTGGACTGAAGAACAAAAGGACAGCAACTTGTCTGTTCCCCTTTCCCAATTCCCCAGTGCTGCTGCCCTCCCCCAATTCCCCAATAAAATCTTAAAAAAAAAAAAGGCGACATGCAACAAAATAAAACAGAGAAGCAATATGGAGGCCGCTGTTTCTGCAAACTGTTTAGGGCCAATTGTCATTCAGGTTGATTGCCATATGTTCACAGGTGTTTTTAAATTTAGTTTCTAGTTTTCTAGATCATACCTTAGCTTAAGTAGATCTAAAGAGACTTTTCTTATGCTGGAGATCTTATTTCATCTGGTTCAGTCTTCTCATTTCATCTAGTCCAATCTTTTTATTTTGCATTTTTGCTGGTATTAAGTAGAGCTAGGAGTATGAGAACCTGACTTTGTTGAATCCAAGTAAGCATTCTTTTATTATTTTCTATATCCCCTGTGATGAAAAGATTTCTCTTTGAATGTGTGGTAGACTCTTGGCAGTCACAGTTTAAACTATTCACCTATAACCTTGAAGGTCTCAGAATGAAGGAGTGAAAGTCCTTGTCATGTAGTAATTGGTAATTTTCCTGACATAGGAATTTAAATCACACCACACTGCAAGGTTGCTCTGTGGGAAACAGTCACTTAACCAGTGAATGATCATGGACCATGGCCTTGCATCCTCTTGTGATTGCAGCTCTGTGGTGGGGCACAGAAATTCTGGAGGTTTAGGAGCTGGACTTACTGATGTAAAGGGTCTGCTGTGTAGGAGTAAAGGGAGAAGCAAAAGTACTCCTGTTAAAAGAAGGATCCATATTTATAGGCATGGTTCTAGCCTAATGACAAATTATAGGTATTAAAGTATAATTTTGTATTTGCCTTAATGAAAAGTTAACATTGGGAACCAGTGTGACCTGGAAAAGCTAGCAGGGATGACTTTGTGTTCAGGATTTTAATAACTTAAAAAACTGACTGTAATATACTTTTATGATGCATATTCAAATATCTGTAGAGCTCAAATTTTCATTGGTCTCCTGGCTAATATGCACACACACAAAAAAACCTTAGATGTTCCCTTGGTGAAGCCTCCTTTAATCGGAGTGATGCCTTAATGAAGCCTCGTTTTTACATACATGTAGAATCAGAGGTTTTATTAGCAAGAGAAGGGTGTTGGAACTGAGGATCAGTGGTAAGATTTGATGATTATTACTTTGGCTTTCTTTATTACCATGTATCTGGGCCAGGATAAAGGGAAGTATTAGAAATTCTTTTTGAAAGTGAGCTTGGTCCTTTTCATGAATTAGAGTTCCTCATGATGAGGGTTAAGAGGGATGGCATACTTAATGATTTTTTTTTTTTTTTAAATTGTGGAATTGTGGGAGGGGAACAGACAACTTGCAACCCACTGCAGCAGGGGCTGCAGCCTATGCCGTTGCGGGCTACTCACGGCAGCCCAGCTCCAGGTTGAGCTGTTGTTCAGCATCTTAGCTGTAGAGGGCAGTGTCACTGGCCCTCATATGTGGGATCCAAACCGGGNGGTTGAGCTGTTGTTCAGCATCTTAGCTGTGGAGGGCAGTGTCACTGGCCCTCATATGTGGGATCCGAACCAGGGCCCTCTGGCGTCCCAAGCCAGTTGTTAACCATCGCGCCACTCGGCCGGCCCTGTCTTATTTCTTAATAAAGGAAGATCTTAAGTAAAGAAGATAGAATATTAAGATTTAATTTATTTGGGGATTGGGTTCATGGGTGTTTGTTATTATTATTATCTAGATTCTTTTGTAAGTTTTAAATATGTTGTGATTAAAAGTTTAAAAAGAGAGCCAGAGAAAAAGGGGGCCGGGAAAATGGGGAGGAATCAGTCTGCTAGTAAATATCGCATATTTGCATGCTAGTACAAATGAACTAGTAAAAAGGGACAAGTTACTGGAGGAGGCTGGGACAGTTGTAAGAGCAGAGTCCTTGAGTAAGAGAAACAATGGGATCCAATACAGAAGTAATTTCTTTGTTTTTTGACAGGAGCAAGGACAATTTGTTGAAATAGGAGGGAAAGTGGAATAAATGTTGGGAAGAGGAAGTAGTTCTCTTCTGAATGTAGGGTTACTAATGTTCAGGTTTGCTTGGGACTGAGGTTTCCCAGGTTGCAGGGCTTTCACTGCTAAAACTGGGAAAGTCCTGGACAAACCAGGATGGTTGGCCACCCTACATCTGTCTTTATTTTTTTCTTGCAAAATGAAAAGCAAGATCATCTGCAGGGAATGAAAAGGGGTTAAAGGTTTAAGGTGTAAAAGGGGAAGTTATATGAGGTAATTATCTTGAAGATGGGAGAACAAACTCAGTAGGTGAAAGTGGTATGATTTTTGAGCTTTGTTAATGGTCTGCTGAAATTTATGGGTATAATTTCATAGTTCATATGGTTGTGTTTCTTTTTAGTTCCATTCAGCTGTTCAGATGGTGGAGGTTCTGTATTAAGTGGAAAGTTGGTTTTAACTCTGATTTGATTATGATGGAGGAAGAGATGAGCAAGGGAGTGAGGCCATAGGCAAGGGAATGGTGGGTCACAGTCTGGGTAAGAAGTGAAGAAGAGGGGGTGCTGGACAGTGGGAAATGGGTTGTAGTTGGGGGGAATCAATCTGAGAGTGTCGCATATTTGTACTTAATGATCTAGTAAAAAGGGACAATTTAGTTTAGTGCAGGAGACTGGGGCAGATATAATAGTGCAGAGTCCTTGAATCAATATATTTCTAGGAGTGAACTGGAAAGATAGGAAGTGAAGAGAGTGGGATACTTGACAGTGAGATTTTTGAGGTGGTGTAGTTACAGGTTATTGATATGATTGTGGGAGGAGGGGGCTGGAGTGGGTGGAAGAAAAGGATTGGGTGTGGGAGTGATCAGTCCATGGATGTGATTTTAGTGATTAAAGCAGATTTCGGTGCTCTAAGAAATATTTACTCAATTATCTTTTCACATACTAACAGTAGATCGTATTGTAGATCGTATTGTTGTTTTTGTTCTGGAATGAGGATGGTTGTAAATAAATAAGCAAATAAAGGCAAGTTTTGTTTAATTAGAACTTGGCCTTACCATATGGCTTGCTTGAGACTTTGAATGTAGTTGGTTAAGTTTCAAACATTAACTCCATACTGATGATCCCACCGCCCATTAAGCTATTTTAGTCCCAGATAGATTGAATGAGGGCTTTGTGTCATGTATGGTTATCTATAGTACATTGCTTAGCCGACTCCAGTTTCCCTCTTTCTCTTTTCATAGGACCGCAGCTGAATGCACAGCTAGAAGGTTGGCTTTCACAAGTACAGTCTACAAAAAGACCTGCTAGAGCCATTATTGCACCGTAAGTATTAAGGTCTTTACCCAGAATCTTTCATACGTTAATTATTAATAAAGAATGAATGTCTACAGGTTGAACTAAAAAATAAAAAACCAGATGCTATGTTGAGCTGATGAAGTTATATTCAGTAATTTTCAGGATTCCTGTGACTTTCACTTTAACTCAAGGATAAAAGAAATTGGCTACTGTATTTTCTCAGATGCAGTAATTTCAAAATTTATTTTGGGTAATAAAACTGAGTTTTAAAGCAGAGGGTTGTTTACATTAGGTAAAACTTGGTAATTTCAGTAATAATTGGTATAAATGAATAAATTCTATTTTAATCATTAAAAAGATCTACTTTAATCCAGATAATCTGTAACTTATAATGAAAAAAATGTATTAAGCATAATACAGTGCAGTATGGAGACGCAACCAGAGTTTTGGGGGGAGGAATAGATCTTTAAAAAATATTTCAGGGATTATTATTCTTTAAAATTTTTCTATTATAGTTAACATTCAATATTATATTAGTTTCGGGTGCACAGCCTAGTGGTTAAACATTTACATAATTTACAAAGTGATCCCCCCAATAAGACTAGCACTCACCTGGCACCATATATAGTTATTACCATATTATTGACTATATTCTCTATTTTGTACTTCCCATCCTGTGACTATTTGTAACTACCAATTTGTACTTCTTAACCCCTTCACCTTAGGGTAGATTTTTTTTTTCGTAATGAAGAAATTCTATGACAGCGTTGTCTTTGAATGTTAGAGTGCTTTTTAGAATTATGAGTTAGCAAATATACCTTTAATGTTGTGTTTGTGTATGATAAGAATTCAGTTAATTTTGATTTGATTTCCAGTGCTAATCTTCAAAACACATTATTTTATGCACATGTTAGCATTTTTCTGAAAAGAGTAAAGATTGGAGTTTGTGCCATTTCTCTCACAGCAGCATCTTGTATGTGACTTCTATTGAGTTAAGGTTGGTACTCTGATAAATAAGTTAAAATAATAATAGCAAGCACTTATTAAACAATATGATAGGGCCGGCCAAGTCGTTTAGTTGATTAAGAGCTTGCCCAAGAGTGCGAGCTCTGAGCAACAGGGTCGCCGGTTTGATTCCCACATGGGCCCGAACTGAGCTGCCAACAGGTGGCAGGATGGCCCAGCTAAAAAAAAAAAAAGCTAAAAAAACCCCAAACAAACAAACAAAAATAAACTACAATATGAGAACTAAATGAGTAAATACAATAAAGAGCCTACATTAATGTTTGGCACATAATAAGTATTCCATAAATGTTAGGTGTTTTATGTGCCAAACATTTAGTTAAATATTTCATTTATATGACCAGTCTCATTTAATAGATACAGGAGGCTGTCTGTATGTACTACTTACAAGCTGTGTGGCATACAAGTTATTTAATCTCTTGTGCCTTTGACTCATTGGTATAGTTGGAATAATAATAGTACCTTCATATAGTTTTTTTGTTGATTAAATGAGCTAATCTTTATAAAACTTTTTTGCACAATGACTTGCAATTTATTTAGTCACTCAGCAAATGGGTACCAGGCTAAATGCCAGATGCTTTTCATTGTGCTGTTTTTTGAATAAATAAAATTGCTACTCTCATAGTGCTTGCGTTTTAGTACTTGGGGAAGACAGACAAACAGTTAAATAATTATATTCCGTGTCAGGTGCTGATGGGTGCTAAGAAGAAAAATAAAGCAGAGTAAGAGGATTGAGAGTGACACTATGGGTAGGGAGTTGCTAGTTTGCATAGGACAGTAAGAACAGGTCTCCCTGACAAGGTAACATCTGAGCCTAGATGATGTGAGAGAGAAGTTACGCAGATACCCAGGGAAAGAGGGTTTCAAGTTGAGGAACAGCAAGCCCAAAGGCTCTGGGGCAGAATATTCTTTTTTTTTTTAAAATATAACTAAATGGTTGGTTTTTTTTTTTTTT